CCCTAATCTGTCCTGGTGCCTGGGGTTATTCCTGCCCAGGTGCAGGACCCTGCACTTGTCCTTGTTGAACCTCATGAGGTTCCTCTCTGCCCAACTCTCCAGCCTGTCCAGGTSCCTCTGGATGGCAGCACAGCCCTCCGGAGTGTTGGCCACTCCACCCAGCTTGGTGGGTGTCCATGCCTGGCAGCCTGGTTCTTTGGGAAGCATTCATCCCAGCGTGTCTCTCTRGGAAGCATTCCTCCCAGGAGAGGTGCCTGCCTGGGCCTTCCTGCTCTATCCTGGGATTCCTGGAGTACCTGTGAAGTGTGGCAGCCTCTCTGCGATCTCTGCCCTCCGAGGCCAGTGGTTACATCCAGCCAGAAGGGCAACTGAAGGGGAACAGATGAAGCCTGAGGATCTCACTGAAAGGAAAAGCCTTGTGCGGTGTCTCACACCCTTATGSATTTTAAATAATCACAACGACTCTGGAATTTGGGAGCGAGCCCCCAGCAACCTGTAGTTCCCACAGCAGCCACCCTTGTGGACGGGGTATTTCACCTGCACATGTGTGCAGAGGGTAAGGGCCTAAGCACTGTCGCTTGTTAATAGGTAACGGCAGCCAGGAGGTCTAAGGCAACTCTGCCTTTCCACTGCAAACTCACATCTGCATCCTGCAATAACGGTAGCATGAAATTTGCTCTGAAAACAGAGTCCTGGCTACCAGTTTATTTACATATGTAAAATGAAGCTAAGGCCCTCCTGTTTTGCCAGTTACAGACAAATTCTGAGGAGAAACCCATATTATTATTTTTTTTTATTTAATAATCCCAGCCTCAGTCGACTGAGAAGGGCAGGGGGTACAGAGCAGCATTTAACCTGTGCTAAAGCTTGGACCTAACATCAGCGACCTCAGCTTCACAGGTACACAGCTGATGTTCTGCCCTAGCAGAAATCAGCTTTTGAATTAGCAGGATTTGCTAATCCTGCTTATTGGGTTAACTGAAAAGGTCTGAGCCCAGGCACAAGAGCCACGGCCTTGCGTGAGCACTGGAGGGTTCTGCTGTTGGGGCGAGGGGCTAACAGAGCTGCCGGGGTGAGCCCGGCGCTCCAGCCCAAAGCCCCGGGCAGCAGCCGCGTCAGGCGGGCGGCACTCGGGGACTGCCCTGCCACCATGCACAGATACTGAGGGGAGGCTGCAGGGAGGACGGGGACAGGCTCTGATCGGGGGGGGGCAAGGGGCAGCGGGTACAAGCTGAAACCCAGGCAGCTCCATCTCCATATGAGGAGGAACTTCTTCCCTGTGAGGGTGMCAGAGCCCTGGCACAGGCTGCCCACGGAGGCTGTGGAGTCTCCTTCTCTGGAGATCTTCCCAGCCCACCTGGATGCCGCCCTGTGCCCCRTGCTCTGGGTGTCCCTGCTGGAGCAGGGCGGGTTGGACTAGTTGATTTCTAGAGGTCCCTTCCAACCTCAACCATTGTGTTTATTTCTGTCCTATTGTGAAGGAACTAAACTGCTAACACACAAAACCTTCCAGCGTGACCATTCCAGAGCTCTCCTTTGCCARCTTCCAGGGGATTACAGACTCATCTGATAGGCACTGCAAACTTATATATGGAAAAACAGGATGCTTGGAAACTCCAAAACACACCCTCCCTCATACAATAACGGTAAATAATAATCTAACAAGAGATGCTTGCAAGCCAAAACTTGGCCACTGCAGTATTTTGTGAAGCCAAATTGGACTAACTTCATATAAACAGAATTTCCACTGGCTAATAAATCCTGGTCTGCTGCAAAAATAAGAAGCAACTCGGAAAATCAGCCATTATTGAGGCTAGATAATTAGCTGTATAAAAACCTTGTCTTAGCATCAGTCATGCAAATATAAGCGCGACTGATTTTTTTTTCCAAATACCTTTTAATGATGCTATATACTCTTAAATAATCTCAAAATCATCAGCATAATATAGCTCTTTGGTTCTGGATACATTTTATGCATAATTACCAACACATTTGGACACAATTATGCCCTGATTTCCATAGTTCTGTATTCATAAATAAGAGGACGAATTCACAGGCCTTTTTCCATATACACTTCCTTATATTTCCATATATTTCTGCAAGAAATGTTTGATTTCGGAGCCCTAAAGTGGATTTGACAGCAGGAGAAATGCTTGGACAAATCCTATCTCCTTCCGCAACGTAACAGCAATGCACCAGCAACTGAAAAACACAGCAAAAAAATTACAAAATGCAGTGCAGGGCTGCCTTAAATCTTTTCTCTTTGTT